GAAAATGACCCTTTCATGACTTTCATGGATGATTTTTTATTACCACATATTGAGAATGTTGATTTTCCATAGCAAACTCTCCAATGACCAAATTCCATAAAAACACCCAGCCCTGCCCAGGAAAGTTCCCTGGAGTTTGGCAGTCAAGATCTTCAAGCTGTTTCAGGTGATGCTGACTGACCCAACGGATGCAGAATGTGTAGTAAAAATATATAAACATCCTGCATATATACCACCTACTATACACATGTACAGCAACGAATAAAACGTAAACATTACATAGATATATAGGTATTACAACTAAATGTAAATACAGATGTTTTCTGTAGATATTATATACGTATATTATTCCACAGAGGGAGAAATATTATATATATATATATGTATGTATGTATGTATGTGTTTAGATATTATATCTAGATATCATGCATCCATCCATCCATCCATCCATCCATCCATACATACATACATACATACACACATCCATACATGCAGCAAACTTATATGATATAATGATCATACAGTATTTTTGTGTGTGGAACATCTGAACAGAAGTAAAACCTCTATATACTGTTGCTTCTTTTTCAGCTTTCTGATTTCTGCAGGGGGACGTGGCATGCAATCAGGGACCGCGTCCAACGAAGCTACCTGATTGCATGGAATACAGAGCCTGATCAGCTCTGCCTACCGGCTCCATTTTCCAATTTGTATGGCAAGCGGCCAAGCCGATAACCGCCCAGCCGTTTTTTCATGTCTGCACAAGTGGCTTAATCTGAGACTGCGGTGAAGGACAACTATACCGATTTATTTCTTTGGACATCTTACACTGGATCCTCGTGACTGGTCAATCCTATTTGTTTCCCTCCTCTGATCAGGAAGAACTGAATTCTTGATTTGCTGCACGACCGATGCATTCCACATCACAATTCGGTAAGACAAGTCTGAGCAAGTGTGTTACTCACGTCGGTTCGACCAGATGCCGTAAGCCTCTCGTGGAATACCTGTCTAGGTAGGATGTTTGATCCTCCAACCTGATCTCTGAATTTACACTCTTCATCTAGTAGTTCGTTTTAAAAAAAGTGAAACAGCCAGCCATTTTTTCACTTTTCACCCTGTCGTTTGTCGTTGGTTGAACAACTGGCCGCAGTACCTGGCTTCGCCTTCTTTCGCTTTTCACCCTGTCGTTTGTGGCTGGTTGAACAACTTACCGCAATACCGGGCTTCATTTCCTTTTGTCAGCCGCAGAAACCTCCTTTTTCAACTTTGATTGAGAGACTGACCAGCTTCTGGCATTGCAACATGACAAGGTTCATGCTTCAGGACATGCCTTCCAGGTGTGGTCACTTTCTTTTGGTTGATCTGGTGAAGTCAAGTTGCGCGCGAATTGGAGGGTTGACTACTTCAGCTGTCTATGTGGGGTTGATTTGAATTTTCGGCCATTAAGCCTGATCAGGGGATTCTGCATTGGATTGTTAATCCATCAGTTTGTTATTGAAACTGATTCTCCGTGCCTCATCACTGTGATCCATCTTCCCCACCTGTGTGCGGGCCATCATTTTTCCTTGGTCGCCATTCTCCTCCTCGCCACCGCCGTGCCAGATAAATACCCCTTGCCGAGCTGTACGTTCTCAGCACGGAACCTTAGGGTGACTGTGATTTTCGGTCGGGGTTTCAAGTGGTTTTCCTGCACTCAACATCAGTCTTCCTTGCATGCTTATCTCCTTTCCACTTTGCAATCGCCTCATGCATATCCATGTCGTCTAACTTTCTAGCCATTGCCTGCGGATCCAACTTCTCCACGCACAAAGGGCATTTACCGCCCATCATGTTCCTTCGCCGCCATTCTCCTCCTCGCCGCGGCCGCGCCACATGAATGCCCCTTGCCGATCTGCTCGTTCTCTGCACGGCACTCTCGGGTGACTGTGAATTTCGGTCATGGTATTCCTGCACTCCGACACGTCGCTGATTTCAGTCCCTTCGTCATCAGTTTTCCATGCTTCCTCAGCAGCTTGCCACTTAGCAATCACCTCAATCATTTTTTATACCCTCCAACTTTCCAGCCATTGCCTGCGGATCCAGCCTCTCCACTCACAGGGCATCAGGACAACCACCGCTTGTGGTCTTCCAAAAAAGACCATGCTGCGGCATGGTGTGTGTGCGTGTATGCGTGGAACTTGAACAGAAGACCAAAACTTTTTGGTTGCTTCTCTTTCAGCTTTCTGATTTCTGCAGGGGGACGTGGCATGCAATCAGGGACCGCGTCCAACGAAGCTACCTGATTGCATGGGATACAGAGCCTGATCAGCTCTGCCTACCGGCTCCATTTTCCAATTTGTATGGCAAGCGGCCAAGCCGATAACCGCCCAGCCGTTTTTTCATGTCTGCGCAATTGGCGCAATCTGAGACTGCGGTGAAGGACAACTATACCGATTTATTTCTTTAGACATCTTACACTGGATCCTCGTGACTGTTCAATTCCACATCACAATTCGATAGGACAAGTCTGAGCAAGTGTGTGTTGTTGTGGCTACTTTTTGATGTGTCAGGAGCCCAACAGCCAGCCACCCGCCCTGAGTTTCAGCGGTTGGGCCAATGCACTGCAAGCAGCCATCCGAGCGAAAGGGCTCTATACCACTGCACCGGAAGTGATTGAGGCGGCTGTCATGCATCCCTTGCGTGGAAGGGGTTTGGTGTTGGGATAGATTGGAAATGAAATAAATCAATCATCATTGTCATGGGCATTTGATTTTGGGTTTGGTAGCTGAAAACGGGGGATTAGCACGCGAATAGCTACTTTACTTGGGATAATACTGGATTGGAATTGATGGCGCGATGTTTTTCAGGCAAACCCAATCCTGCAGCTGAATGATGTGGTGAGTAACCTTGAAAAAAGAGGGAAGAGGGGTCACATAGAAAATCAGGATCGACGGTAAAAAAAAAATCTCTCTCTCTCTCTATCTCTTTCTCTCTCCCTCTCTATTTGTTTGGTGTTCCTTTTCTAGCAATCTCTACCTCTTAGTGTTGAGGTGCCAATTGTTTGATCACTCTGACCCAACTTTTGTCTGATTGTGGTCACGCCCCTTGCTGCACCAATTGCTGTGCTGGTGGTTGCCAAGTTACCATGCGTCCATCGTATTCCATCGTTGTGCACGTTGCTTTCGGCTGTTGTGCTTTATACTTCTTAAATGCCTGTCTTAGCCTCTGACATTGTGATTCCGAAAGTTGCACTTAATTTTTTCCCGGGGTTCCCTAAGCATTCTGAGAAGGGAATGCTGCAGATAGTTAGTTTGTGCTTTTGTAGGCCATTGTTTTGTGCGCATGTGCCCTCCCCAGCCATTTGCTAAAATAATCTAAAAGCTGCCCTGCGTCCTCAGGCGGTCTTTTCGACCTTCATTCCACGCGCACAGATGCAAATGGGCATCTCAGATCAGGAGGCCAGCAAAGAAGGAGCCCGCCGATGCTAGCCTTTTAGGCGGTCAGTTTGGTGGGCGAGTTGCTGTAGAATAAGTATTGTTGATGCATATAAAATCATATAAATGCATTGTATGTAAAATATTATATATATATCATATATCATATCTTGTCATATCATATCACATCGTATCATATCATATCGTATCATATCATATCATATCATATTGATGCATATGGTTGTCGTTGTATTTACGTATTTGGAGGCCAGTTTTTCCACCCGGAGAGCAACCACATTCAAAGGGCCATCCAAAAAATCAGCCATACAACCAGATCATACCAGATCAGAACAATTGGTGAGAGTGGGTTAGGTGCTGGATTTTTCCCTCAATCTTACGTTGCCGGATTCAAGTGGTTCATCAGAAGTGGATTCACTGATCCGTCAACACAGAGGTTTTAGTTTTGGGTGTTTTCCACATGTTTTGTTGTTGCTGTGTTTCGTTTTCTGTGCGAAATTATTTGTAAAATTGTTCTTGGTTCATGCCACTCATGTAGGAGACCGGAGCCACTCGATATCAAGTGCCTGACCAGCAGTTGTGCACATGGGGAGGGCCGTAGATCAAAGTTTTTTTGGCGCATGTGCCCACGAAATAGCATTGTTCAAAACTCATCAAATCTCTATCCTTCACATTTTTGCAAGAGGATACTCCAACACGTGCCCTCTCACAGTTTCCTATCGTTTCCTCAACACACCACGTTTCTTCCATTTCTATATGTCTTTCATTGTCTATCATCCTCCTTGTGATAGCAACCATGGCCAAAATCGTCCAATTTCCACCATGTTTTTGCCAAACTTTGCCAAAGTTCAGGTCGGCAAAACTCCCGAACTTCTTCCAGGGCAATGTCCAGATCCTTTTCCCGGGGCCAGAGTCGCTCGATGTCGCGGTCCCTGTCACGTTCGCAGTCGCGGGGCATGTCCCGAAGCATGTCCCGGAGCATGTCGCGCAACGTGGGCCGAAGCTCCTCTAGAGCACTAAGTGTTTTCAGCACGGGTGGCTCAACTTGCGGGGAGGACGGGTGGATTTGTTTAATGGCTGTCTTCAATGGGAGGAATCAGGGAGATGAATCAAGGGGATATATATATATAATTATATATATCCCAATGAAATTGCCTAATGGCCTAATCCTTTCAATCCTTTCCTCCTAATACTAGATGTCCACCCCAATCACAAAGAAACTGTTGTAGTCTTTATTATTTTCAGTCCCCTCGCAATTGGAAGGAAATTTACCGGTCAGCCCAACATAGAAACTTGCTGCAATCAACCGAGAAAGTTTGTGCGAAAACGTTTTCGAAGACAAGTGCGAAATACCGTGATAATTTCAAGTGATTCCAGTGATGGTGATGACGGGATGCAATTGTTGTTTCACTGCGTCTCGTTTGTGAGACACATCTGCTTCACTTTTCATGCATGCCTCCCTTTCATTTTATTCACAACACTTCACTGTAGAAAAACAAAAATTGGAAATGGGCTAAATCGACCCTAGTGTTTAATATGTGGGGGGTTGTTTAGCAATAGGAGGATTGATTTTTCTCACCGGGAAAATTACCATCAAGCTTGATTTTTTTTTGGGGCACCCTAGTTACGTATAACATGAACCTGAATCAAGTTGGATGAAGATGGATAAAGAACATGGTAGTAATTTTGCGTACTCATCATGGCTCAATGGTGCTGCTTGAAGTGTGAGATGTAATTGGGTTTTGGTGTTTTATGACTCATGATTTGTAACGTGATAAACAGACAAGAAGCCATCCCAGTAACCAGCCAGAAAAGATCATAAAAGTGTATTGTTAAGCATCCCAAACATTGAGTATGCCCAAGAAGAGACCTCAATTGGTGCGGTTTGATTGATTTTGATTGTTTCATTCCCCAATTTTTTCCTACATCATCCCACGATAATCCACGATATATTATTAGTTTGACCTCATTGCATGTAAATTTCCATGTTTTTCCATGGTGTTTCCCAGTCATTTTGATGGCCCTTGGAGGACTCTGATGACGAGACCATGACGGACGACGGCAAGCTGCCCCTGGTTTGGCAAATCAACTTAGCGGAACAACAGATTTGCGAGCCCGAGTGCTTGCAATTGCTCCATGAGTATTCCAGACTCCTAGAGGCCGATGTGAAGATTTTTCTTTTGAAATCCTTGAGATGTGCTGAGAGGATACCTTGAATGTTGCCGTTTTAATTGAGATTGAAGTTGAAAGCGGCCAGATCCTATTCCATCACTATGCAGACGGGGATAAGATGTCCCAGGATATGTTCACCGTATTGCTGAAGGCGCGCGACCGATTGCCTTGTCCCACTGGCTCTCCATAATCATTCGCACCAGCGATGGGCAATTCGCATCTTTCAGGGGACAATTTCGTGGCTGTTGGGAATTTTGCTGCCAGGTTTGATTACTGGGGGCTAGTCAAGGTTCATCACTCGTGACCACGATTTTTCAGGTTTTTCATGTGTGATCACTAGTCAGGGGTGTTCGGAATAGTGAAAGGCTGCTTTTGGATAGGACTAGGACTGTGGAGAAGACGTTGACCATCACCACTGTTGAACTGCTGCTGGCAGGAGTTGCGTTTCTTTCCCGATTTTTGTCAACGCTACTCTTTGAAGAAGCACCTGAATGCGACAGAAGTAAGGTATAGTGAAGCAGAGCTGGGTTTTGCTCCCTTTGTTGAGACTTTGTGCCGCATTTGCTTTTGTTGCTTGCCTGTGAACATTGAACACTTTGTGGATTTGATGCGTACGATCTCCAATCATGGATTTACACATGTTTATACAGTCATTGTTCCACTCGAATGCTGGGGTAATAAGGGATCTCCTATGTTTTCTTAGTCTGATAGTCTGATGGTAGTTGGTAGTTCTATTGATTTCTACTGCAAGGGAAGGGAAGGAGCAGATAGCCACTCAACGCATCATGCATGACAAGTTATGGACATGAATGGCGCAGTTGTTTTGACAACAAGGCTCTTGGGTGATATTTCCCAACGTCATCATGCAACATGAGTTTGGTTGCAATCAGGACTGGATGTTTTAATATTTTTGTCCAGAGGTAAGACGGCCAAAGGATGTGGTGAGTAACCAACCAAAGTGAAAACATGATCCAGCCGCTAGCCTCCAGCTGCAAATTTAAGTGACATCGCCATCATCGCCTTGGGAAGAAAAAAAATGTTCCTCCGTTCGTCCAAACCTCGGTTAACTCGGAGGTTTCTTGAACATCTATGGCAACACAGCGCAGCAACTTGCAGCTTCCAAGTACAAGATGCTGTGGGTGTTGGCGCTACTGGAGGCGAGATTGCCAAGGAAATTCCGCAAAAATGCCACAGATCATGGTAACTCAACGGCGTTGGGAGGTTGGTATATTTTGTGGGTATTGCATGCGTTTTTTCTCCCAAGAAAATATGTTCCAGTATTTTGTGATATGGCATTTTGATACATTTTGGCCATGAACACTTTTGGTGCACTATTTGCGTATATCTATAACACACACTCACACATACACACACGCACATATACTGTATATATATATATAGAGGGCGGCACCCCGTGGGGGAGTGAATTTTCATTAAAAATGATGATAAAACACTGTAAATACCGATGTTTTATGCATTTGGAGGGTCTAAAACCCTAGTAAAACACACTTTTTTCATCATGATCTTGACATGAGATATACAAAAACATTGACAGGCACCAAAAAAACCAAAAAAAAAAACCACTAGATGCACCAAACATCGACAGGCACCAAAAAAAACAAAAAAAACAAAAATTCCAGCAACTACTCAGAAGTGGACCCATAGTTCCTGGAAATTTTAGTTTTTTTGGTTTTTTTGGTGCCTGTGCAGGTTTGGTGCATCTAGTGGTTTGTTTTTTTTGTTTTTTTTGGTGCCTGTGCAGGTTTGGTGACTCTGACTTCACAAAACATTGACAGGCACCAAAAAAACCAAAAAAAACAAACCACTAGATGCACCAAACATCGACAGGCACCAAAAAAAACAAAAATTCCAGCAACTACTCAGAAGTGGACCCATAGTTCCTGGAAATTTTAGTTTTTTTATTTTTTTTGGTGCCTGTGCAGGTTTGATGCATCTAGTGGTTTGTTTTATTTTGTTTTTTGGTGCTTGTGCAGGTTTGGTGCATCTATTTGTTTTTTGATGCCTGTGCAGGTTTTGGTGATTATAGATTGTGTATGTTTGGATCTTGGCCATCTTTTAAACTTATGTTTCAAAGAAGCAAACATACCGTTATCTTTGAATAGCTATGCCACCACACAGGTTGCCTGACCTTAATATTCAACAGCTTGACACACGTCTTTGTCTCTTAGGCTTTCTCTCTCTCTCTCTCTCTGTCTAACTATTGAAATGAGACTGCTGACAAGACTCTGCAAGATAACAATGATAAACGAGATATGTACCTACTTCTTGAGTTGTAACATTCCCACCATCCTTCTTATCCAGAGTGTTAGATGTGCTTGTGTTATATCCACCTATATAATGTATGCCCTTCCCACCATACTTCTTATGTAGCGCAAATGCTTCTATATACAATATATGTTAAGATGATATCAATCTAACAAGTTCATGAAGAAACACCTATATCATATCAATTGCTTTTAACAATAGAATTTCTCCATCACCTCCATCACACTAGTCACCTATTGCTACTGTATATTCTGTTCCAAGATGTGCAGCTACCCATTCTTATGGCATGTTGTGCAGCAGATGTTTTCTGTTATGTGCTGATTGTTTGTACTTCTTTGCAAGCCTCACAGGAAAAATTGAATCCTGCCACAAGAGTCTGTAAATGCCAGTGATTTATGACAGCATATGAGAGCCTTTGGAGGTGAACTCTATTTTTTGCTCTAAATTAACGGTTTTAAGCCCACTTTGGTCACAAAACACTGTAAATACCAGTATTTTTGACAATTTTTAGAGCAAAAATCACTCCCCCATGAGGGGCCGTTCTGGATATAGAATGCATATATACATAGTAATTACTATATAATTATATAATTATGTAGTCACTGCCAAGTATGAATTTCTTTCTAAAGGGTAAGCTCTCGTCAGCTCGCCAAGGTGAAGAGAGTGAACCCCTGGATCACATCCAACCGCAGGGTGCTGACTCCTTGTGGCATCAGAGAAATGCGGACTTCGACATCTCAGTTTGTGACAACAAGGACGCATATAACCGATGAACCCACAGACAAGTTTCTTCCCAGCAATCCGGAAGAATTCTTTGAAGTATTCAAAAGTAGTAAACCCCGATGAGCTCATGGGAAGTTACAGTACATCAGTTCCAGAGCCTTGATTGCACATTGCCCTGCAGGACATCATTTTGTGGGTAACCATGGAAAAACTGGCGAATGCATTGCCAATTCTACAGGCACATGTTGGTGGTGCTTCCACTATGGAAAATGAAATCGACAGGGCCTTGTCCATGCTTCGACGCTGATGGCCCGATACTTTTTGTGGAGGTTGAGTGGCGCTTGACGCTTTTTGTATAGCTTTCTGTGGTATTTCTGCGGCTAAACTTGCTGAATTCGCCCCGGCCCTTAAAGGGCAGGAAAAAGAATGGATGACCACAGGAAAAGACGAATACACAGCTGCTTGCTGACACAGTATTTTGCTTTTAAAGCATTTGTAGCACAGGACGTTTTTCTTGGCAACATTCAAAGCAGCAGAGAATCACAGAAAATAGATCGCTCATTATTCGTGTGAAATTGGATTGATCCACTTGGTATCCTTTCTTCCGTGGCGAAAGAACTCCAGGATAATATAGGACAATAGCATTACAATAGCATGTAATAGCATATAATGGCACATAATGACATCCACTCAAAAGAACTGGGGCCGAGAAAATGGGCCCAGGAATCACACCCCTGCCGAGCCTTAGAACTTCTGCTGTGCACCGGCCGAGGCTCTGTTCAGCAAGAAGATAGTTACACCAAGTGAAGGACTATGGTAAATGAATTGTAAATTATGGTTAGCACATTCGCTTGAGCTTGGCATTGCGCCTATTATTCTTCTACTAAGCGCTCTCCCCATTGGTGAGCATCCCCACAGTCATCAGGTGAACTTTGTCAGATTTGATCATTGCCTGACCACAGCTATCATGCCCGGGACTGCTGGAGTATGGTTCCGCAAATGCCTGAGACTTCATGACAACGAGGCTTTGGTAAAGGCAGGGCTTCCAGTTGAAAATCGTTGATCAAGCCATTGAGGTATCTACCGAAAGATACCTCACTTGGTTGATGCGCATGATTGTTTGGAGATGCCCAAATTCTGCGGTCAGAAAGGCTTGCTTGGTAAGGCGGCCAATTTTCGACACAGCGTCCAGCAGTGCCAGAGACATTTCATATGCTACATGTGATTGATAGATTCTGATACGGACAATTTTGAACGGTTTCTTGTGCTGCTAAGTGGACCAAACGGCCATTGAAGAGACTGTACACTCTGCTCACACCTCAAGTCTTGCCGCAGCGATTTAATGTTTCCATGGCTGAGGACAGGTCATGGTCAGTGTCATCCTCAGAATCCATGATTTTTTCCCCGGTGTTGCATGTTGTTGTTGGTAGGCAGCCACGTTCGAGAAGGTGGTTCCTTTCTTCATCCTGGACCCACACTTTGCGGGCCACGTCGGTGTGAACAGGTGCCCCTTTGTTGCTGTATGTTGTGGCAGCCTGATGCCATCCATGCACCGAGGTTCAACTTTTTGCTGCAGAATTTGCAGGACAGAAACCAAGAGTGCCAACAAGTTGCAGCTCAGTTTTTTGAGTGAAGTTCAGTGAAACGATGAGACATCCTATAGTGAAATATTTGGATGAATTTATGTTTAGATTAGATTAATTTAGGTGAATTTGGATGAATTTTGCATTACAATGCATTATACAATTCATCCATTCTCTGTGGCCCTGGCATGTTCGGTTGCAGCAATGCATCATCAGCTTCGGAGGACCTCGATTCACAACTCCGTGAGCGCAGTAGTCGTCTTTTAGTCTTTCGAGGCAGGTCGGGGGTCGAATCCAGGGCTATTTGAAACCGATGGAATGCTATCAGAAAACAATCAGAAAACACGAGGATCATGAGGATGATATGAGGATGGATCCAGTGAAAGTATAAGGAATCACAAGGTTTATCCATGTAAGCCTGGACGATACTTGGGTTCAGGAAAACCTGAAGAGATTCTGCCAAAGCTCTTCAATGGAAAGGCAGAAGTGGGAAGTGGGGGCCCATGGCTTCGGACAATACTTTGGACTTCTGTATGGTGTTATAATTGCATTATATATATATATATGTTTTATGATTATTATTATTTTATTTCTATTTTTATATAATGCTATTATTGTTCCGATTTTTATTATTAGTATTATTACCGTTATTATTTTTATTATTAGCATTATTATTGTTATTATCTTTATTATTAGCATTAATATTGTTACTATTTTTATTATTAGTAATTACCCGCAGACGCCGTGTGTTGCCCAGACATTAACATTGAGAATGTCGTCCTGTCGAATATATGATAGGAGAGATTGCAGAAAATACTGCGTATACGCAGTGTTTTCCAGTTTAGGAGTCAAAGTTTTCAGAGAGCCTAGGTTTTAGGTTTTAGGGTTTGGGGTTTTAGGGTTTAGGATGGTTTAGGGTTTTAGGGTTTAGGGGTCGTCGTCTGGGAAATTTCAAAACACTGGCCCTGCGCAGGTTTTTGAGCATGTTGAAGGATAATGTTTAAACATGTTTAAACGTCAATTGAACCTTCCGGGCAAGCGCCTGGTTGCATTGCTTTTGTTATTATTATTATTGTTATTATTATCAGTAGTAGCATTATTATTAGTAGTATTTTTATGATTATTATTATATAGTTGTTATCTTGCTATTGTTAGTATGAATGTTATTATTGTGAAATGCCTTCAGCCTACTTCTAAAGAATTTTAAACAAATAAAAAAAACGAAAACCAATCAAAAAAAAAACAAAACCCAATCCAAACCTCAATTAGAAAAAACAAAAAAATGCCAAAAAAAAACAAACTCCAATCCAATCCAAACCTCAATTAGAAAAAAGCAAAAAAAAAACAAAACCAAAAGCAAAAAAAACAAACTATTTGTTTTCACTTTTTTTTCGTTTTTTTTTTTTGCTTAGTTTTTGTTTTTTTTTGGCTGTGTTTTTGTTTTTTTTTTTTCCGCCTTTGTTTTCGCATTTTTTTTCGTTTTTTTCTTTCTCAGGTGACCTGATGACCGGGACCTTCGAAAATGTAAGAAACTCGTGGAAAAAAGCGAAAAAAATGCGAAAAAAAAAACGAAAAAAAAACGAAAAAAAAAAAAAAAAAAAAAAAAAACAAAAAAAAAACGAAAACAAAGCGAAAAAAAAAACGAAAAGAAAACGAAAAACAGTGAACACAATAGTTTGTTTTTTTTTGCATTTTTGTTGTTTTTTTTTGCTTTTGGTTTTGTTTTTTGTTTTTTTTTTGTTTTGTTTTTTTCTAATTGAGGTTTGGATTGGAGTTTGTTTTTTTTTGTTTTTTCTAATTGAGGTTTGGATTGGGTTTTGTTTTTTTTTGGATTGGTTTTCGTTTTTTTTAGTTCAATTTATTTTTTATCGTTTTATAGAAGTTGCCTGTAAGCCGTGTCACAATGTTATTAGTTTATTATTGTTAGCATTATTGTTATTATTATTGTTGTTTATATTGTTGTTATTATTGTTATTATTATATATTATGATCATTTATGATCTATTTTGTATATCAATATCTCAATGATATACATTTTATAATATATAAGAATGCCCTATATCTCTATAAAAATGGTGGTCATGCCAGTTTCATTGTTTTTTTTCCAATGGTTTGCTGCTTGTACTACCCTGCAACCACCCTCGGCCAGGCCGAGGTTCAGTTGTCGCACGTATTTTTCGAAAAAGATACGGAGCCCTACGCGCAGCAACGAGACGCGGAAGTGCTGAGAATGGCAGAGGTGCCCATCACATCTCTGTTGGGTGAAGTCAGTGAAGTCGTTTTTTTTTTTTCCAGCATCCTCCTTGCATGGATTCATGGCATGTCCTGCAGGAGCATGGTGTGCATGTCGTTGCTTTGCGATAAAAAACGGGATCTCGTTTGTGGCCTTGACTGCTTTCTGGACATATGCAATTTTTCTGCCTAAGTTTAGACCCACTTCAAGCTGGTTGCATGTTTCGTACCAGCTGTTCATTTGTTTCACTGGATGGATCAAATGGTGGAGCCAGCATCTCTAGTCTCCGGGCCAAGGAATGAAACCCAACTCCAATGGTGGCAGCTAGAAATTGGTTTTCCCACTGAGCTGAAGCCTTTGTTTAGCCGCTCGAAAGCCAAGGACAGCTTCTCTGGTCACACTCTATTGGACATTGACGCAACTGTTGCCAAGCCTGGTTTCAAGCCACCGATTTCCATGAAAGCCATGCAGAATGAACCTTGGATGCCGCTTGAGCCAGGGGATTCATAGAAATCACATGTTGCGCATAGAGTTGGGATGCCGTGACGGTGCTGGTCATGATCTATTTTTATCTATTTTTATGGTCATGATATTGAAGATATTGAAGACTTCCCTAGGTTTTCTGCAGATGTTTGTTTAAAAAACAGCATAAAACTGGAAGATCTTCAAGGTCCACCAGGTGAGAGATGCCTGCGACCTGAGATCATGAATGGAGCCGGTCCAATACGCGTAGCGTTGGACATCCCCAAGCTGCCTCCTCTGAAGTTGGAAGGACTGAGAGCTTAGGGCTATGGCTCCAAGCCCTGGCTGGCGGACACCCAATCCATCAGCTTGCTGGTAGAAAATGATGAAAGATTGGTTAATGTCACAAAAAATGATGAATATATATAATGTGGCAAGCCCAAATTCATCACCCATCCCCAAGTCATCAGCATTTTTATGAGTGGTATGATGTGCTATTTATATTTACCATCCCTAAATGATAGTTGCAGCCAGGGTGTCCCAGAGTTGCTCCAGGATTCGAGGTGCCAAAGATCACAGAGATCACTAGTGAAGAGCCGACCAGCACAGGATTTCCAGGCTTTCCTTTCCAGTGACATGAATGGCAGATGCAGAGATTGTGGTGTAACCGCTGGCAAATTTCATTTATTTTTCAAATATCTATGCTTATATGGAGGTTTCCGAAAGTGGGGGTACCCCCAAATCATCCATTTATAGATGGGTTTTGCATTATAAACCATCAATTTCGAGGTACCACCACCTTAGGAACCCCCCACATAGTTAAAGTTTAAAGAATGAGTAATTAGTATATATCAAGATTTATGACAGGTGGTGAGCAAGAAGCACTGAAGCGATTGCATCGTGTTTGTGCAGATGTTGACTATGCTGCTTCGACCAGCACAAGCGGGGAGAAAACAGGTGAGAACAGTACACAGTATACACGTCATCACCTCATGTACTCGTACCATGTGCTAAGTGGATCTGGCTTTCGAAGTTTGGTAGTCAGTGATGGAATGTCATGGAATCATAGCAGTGTCACCTGCAAGTTAATTCCAGTACTTCATAAGCTCTGTGAAACAATGTGAAACATCACCCTTCCAAACGACTTGACCGGCAAGTTCAAAAGTGAGCAGACAGCAACGCATGTCACCTCATGTCAGCTCTGAGGTTTGCAAGTTTGAGAAGCCGAAAACTGCATCAACTGGACGTCCTGGGTGTCCATGGGAACCATCTACTACAGGCATGGCCATGGCACTTTCCATGGCACACTTTGCCGTTTTGAGATCCATCTACCCCGAGCTGAAAACAGCCAAGTGTCTTTTCCGACACCTTGACAGCTCTGGAAAATTTGTTATAACAACCCAGTCAAACACATTCAAACCTAAAACATAAAAGGATTTCCACCTTCATCGCGCGTCAAACGGACATCCATTGAAGAAGCGCGTTGATGTGTTGCAAACGGACGTATACGCATTTCCGCGGATGGTTGCAAAAGGTTGTAATATGTAATGTTGTAAGTCAACCTTGTATTATTTCCAATGCTTGAAATTTTCCACACATTGCTTTGTGTGAAAAATTCGGAAACCTGACCTAAATCCACATCCAATCTCATCAGTGTCCACATTTTTTCCGTCATAAAATGGTTTTACACACCATGGATTTGATCCAGTTTCATTCCGGTTGCGTCTCTGGAGGCCTTTCGCCCTACCTGAAATTCGGCTGCCTTTCCGTGAAAACCGCTTGGCATGCCATTGACCAGTGCATCCGTGGCAAGAACCATTCGCAGCCACCGCAGTCCCTGCATGGGCAGATGCCGGGACCTTTTTTTTTCATGGTTTTGTTTCCATTGTTTTGCATGGATTTGTGTACGGCTATGTATGTTCTATATTCTATGGCTTTCATTGGTTCCAAGGGTTTTTTAATGATTGTGTGTGTGCTTTTTGTATGGTTTTACCATGTTTATCCATGTTTCAACCTTTGGTTTTTATGGTTTTGTGATGTTTTGTGCTTATATTATCGATTGTATCGTGGTGTTTCATGGTTTCGTCATTGGGTGTGTGGCGAGATAGGTTTTTCCAGATAAATCCATGGCCTGGAGGCCCATGGAAATCCATGGGTTGATCACAGCGACCAACTGAGGATTCTTTTTCGCGAAATGTTCTATCTCTTAGGAGCTGCAGTGCCAAACTTTGATAAGAATGAGGGGTGCCTCAGCTGTCTGGAGAGTCGCAAGGGTTTTCAGACGGCCATGGCTGAAGATATGGTACTTGTAGTGGTCGAATTGATCCCACAGTCCAGGATGGTTTCCTGTTTTAGCACTTATGTAATATAGAAAAAATATATATTGTTGTAAAGTTCATCCAGATTCACTTTTGTATACTTTTGTTGTACAGTTTCAGTTTTGCTTGTAAAGTCTTAACCTGTTTGGGCGTAGTTGTTGTGTCTAAATTCACTTGTTTCGCTTTAGTAAGGATCTTATGTTGGCAGGCTTCATCTTGATGGTTGACCCCTACTTGCCCCTTGAACCTGGTGTAGCTGCCAACAACCAGGAATCCAATGTGCAAGCCGATTTCTTGGGGAAGTGATCCAAAACTTCTGGCTGCATGGCAGGACAGAAAAAATGCTGACAACTGGGTAGGAAAAAAATGGTGGGACGGTTGAGAACTGCATAATGGTCCAAATCTCTCCAGGTCTTTAGGTTGGCAGGCCAGTTGTGCGATTGAAATGCTCGTGCACTGTCAGTTTGAAAATGAGTTTGACCCTGTGGTGTTCGCCATGTAAGTGTCAGAGAGCAGCCAGAAGTTCTGTACGAAAATCATGTATTTTTGTAGAAGGAGGGAGCAGCGCATGACTATATAGCTTTTTAAACACACACACACACAAAAAAAAAAAACATGGTGGTTCTCGCCCTGTCGTTCACCTGAACAGGACGGTAGAACCGGCTACCCGTTTATTGATGCTTTGATGCGACAGTTGAAGCAGACAGGCACCGTTGGGGTCGAGGGGCAGCACAGACATGGAATGTAACCACGTCAGCCAAGTCCAGCACCATCCACTTCACTGCCATTTCCCAATTTCCTGCAAGGCTTCATGCACCACTTGGGGCGCCATGCAGTGGCATGTTTCCTAACGCGTGGTGAATGCCTGAGAGCGCCGGAAGGAATTTCGTGCTGCGGGGATTCAAGCAACCCTAGTCAGATGCCCCCCAGGAAGGGCTTGTTGAGAGCGAATCTTAGCAACATCCAATAATATGGGGGTATTACTGTAACTATTTGGAACTATTGTATAACATTATTATATAGGATATATAGAAGTTTATTCTATACTTGACTGGTGAGTTGAATCCCCATAGTTCATATATCCGCATGATTGATTGCTTTTTCTCCAAATTTTCCCCAAGGTGATTTGTGGCAAAATTGGACCTGTGGTCGTGACGTGTTTGATAAGTTGCTGCTGGATTCTGACTGGGCTGTCAACAACGGCAGCATGGCTGAAATTCAGAGGGATTCTTTGGGCGAGAACACAACCGGTTAGAATGGTGGCGTGGTTGCATTTGACAGGCGACAACCCATTGCTAATTCGTTCGAACAAACGTGTGCTAAAAACATTGCTGCTGTATCCAGTATTCCTATACAAATTCTGTACCATCCTATACCATCCTATACCCACGCATTACTTCTATAGCATTCCACGTGGGCCGGTTGGGCTTGGGTGGGCTGGTCCTGGTTTGCTCAGGCAACTGGCTGTGGCTTGCAGGCGACCTCGGCCAATGATAAACCATACCCGATATCACCAAAATTGGGTTGCAGAAACCATCCCCAAATGGTAGGTTTATGATTGGGTTTACCAATGTTTACCACATTACTGACATTATTCCTCATTGGGAGATGCTCCTTGCTTTCGTCACATGTGCGGCTCAGAATGTTTGGCCGACCATGGAGGTGTCGCGCCCTTCTCAGCGCCGTACTTCAGAATCTACGAGCCTCGTTGGAACAAAGGGGGTGAAAGGGGTGGCCATGCAGATACATGCAGGCTGTGGGCGCAAGTCCCGTGGTTCAGACGTTCCTTGATGTTCCTGTTCCCAGGACCCCTGTCCTGGCCCGAAGTCAAGCCTGAATGCTGAGCAGACCGGGGAATTTGTGAAGCATTACGTCCCGAGCTTGGTGTCGGTTTCAGGGCCAGGTGTGTTTTTCCATGTCCCACTGGATGTCCCAGCGAAAAAACTTAGGGCTATTTTGTGAACGTTATTTGAGGTGCCAGAACTCAAAGGGATGCCAGCTCGATATCTGTGCGACTTGGTGGCAACTTTCAGGGACCAGCTCCTAATATCTAGTGTTCTTGACTGTCCTTGTGCGTCGCATTCTCCAGGTTTTTATTTTTTAAGTGAATGGGGATGAAGAGACGGTATGATTGTCGGACACGGTCAGATGACTTTAAGTAAGAGATATAAGAGAGCTTAGTAGCAACTAGCTGGAGAGAGCAAGAGATTTCGTCAGGAGATGTCAGGAGTTTGATTCAAGCATGTTGTCCATGGACTTTACAGGGGCCCGCAATTCCCATAAGCTTCCCTACCATAAGTTTCCCCCCCATTCCCATAAGCTTCCCCCACTATTGGAGTTTCTTATTGGGGATCCGCCAAAAAAAAAAATCTACCAATGTTGGTGTCATTCCATGCCATACACAACGCATTGCTGCCAAGACAAGCCGTGGACAGCACCACTGGCTGAACAAAAGAAGGCTCAGTGCATCATCGGCCAGGAGAGATCCACTCCGTGGATCGCCTGAAAGTCTAGAAATCGATGACCTGGTGAAGCAAATGGTAAACCAACCAAAATGGGATAGTTAATGATGGTTAGTGCTGGTTAATGATGGTTAATCTGATAGTTACTCTAGGTTAAATAAACTTAGCCCTAGAAAACGAATATGTGCAAAACAAAGTCATGTTAGGATAACTTGGTTTTTGAAGCATTTTGAAGCATTTTGACACAGGTCTATGTTAATATTCTTAATTACAACGAAATCTTAGACAAAACCTCTAAAAGTCTTCATTGACAGCATTTACAACAAACATCTCAAAAACCTATGTTAGGATACCTTTTTGAACCAACCACCACACATGTGCTATGTTAGTACACCAAAGTTCCGTGCAGAACAAAGTCATGTTAGGATAATTTGGTTTTTGAAGCATTTTGACGCAGGTCTATGTTAATTGCCTGATTCTCCAACGGAATCTGAGACAAAATCTCTAAAGGTCTTCATTGCTATGTTAGTTTATAAATGGGCCATTTTCCACAAATCCATGGATTTACCCTCTGGTATATTAACATATTACGTGCGTGGAGCTAGACCCTGGCAGATAAGCGGAGTTGGAAGATCATTGCACATAAAGAATAATAGTGAATTTCAGGTCTATGTTAGTTACGAGAGGGGGGTACCTTATTTTTATGTAGTTATTGTTTACTTTTCGTTGGATGGTTAGGGATCTGGTTTAGAACTGAAACGATAAGCCAATGGAAAAGGGCAATCCCTTATAAATGGAGGTTTTAATGGGAAAATCATCTATAAATGTGCCATTTTCCACAAATCCATGGATTGACCCTCTGGTATATTAACATAGACCCTGGCAGACAGGGGCTGGAAGATTCATGTCCATTAAAAAATGGTGATTTTCAGGGTCTATGTTAGTTTACTAGGGGGTACCATCTGGTTATGACTAACATAGCCATGGAAAATCCCTTATTTATGGAGGTTTTAATGGGAAAATCATCTATAAATGGGCAATTTTCCACAAATCCATGGATTTACCCTCTGGTATATTAACATAGACCCTGGCAGACAGGGGTTGGAAGATTCATGTCCATTAAAAAAAAAGTGGTTTTCAGGGTCTATCACACAAAACTACGTTAGCTTTACTAGGGGCGGAGACCCACTGGGTTATGACTACACATTAGCCAGGAACACTCCCTATAAATGCGAGGTTTTTCTTAATGGGAAAATCATCTATAACAATGGGCCAACATTTTCCACAAATCAGGATTGACCCTCTGGTATATTAAATAGACCCCGTGGCAGACCAAGAGGCGTTGCGAACGATTCAGGTCATTAAAACACAATATTGATTTTTACCTGGTCTATGTTAGTTACTTAGGGGAGGTACATCTGCGTTTCCTGCGATTATGACTAACATAGCCAATGGAAACACATCCCTTATGCAAATGGAGTTTAACTGGGAACACATGCACACTCATAATAAAATGTGTCATCTGACACACACAATCCATGGACATTACCACTCTGGGATATTAACATAGAACACACCTGGCAGACAGGGGTTGGGAAGATTACTGACCATTAAAACAATAGTGATTTTTCAGGGTCTATGTTAGTTTACTAGGGGGGCACCATCTGGTTATGACTAACATAGCCATGGAAAATCCCTTATAAATGGAGGTTTTAATGGGAAAATCATCTATAAATGTGTCATTTTCCACAAATCCATGGATTTACCTTCTTGTATATTAACATAGACCCTGGCAGACAGGTGCTGGAAGATTCATTTCCATTAAAAAATAGTGATTTTCAGGGTCTATGTTAGTTTACTAGGGGGGTACCATCTGGTTATGACTAACATAGCCATGGAAAATCCCTTATAAATGGAGGTTTTAATGGGAAAATCATCTATAAATGGGTCATTTTCCATAAATCCATGGATTGACCCTCTGGTATATTAACATAGACCCTGGCAGACAGGTGCTGGAAGATTCATGCCCATTAAAAAATAGTGATTTTCATGGTCTATGTTAGTTTACTAGGGGGTACCATCTGGTTATGACTAACATAGCCATGGAAAATCCCTTATAAATCGAGGGTTTAATGGGAAAATCATCTATAAATGTGCCATTTTCCACAAATCCATGGATTTACCATCTGGTATATCAACATAGACCCTGGCAGACAGGGGGTGGAAGATTCATGTCCATTAAAAAATAGTGATTTTCAGGGTCTATGTTAGTTTACTAGGGGGTACCATCTGGTTATGACTAACATAGCCATGGAAAATCCCTTATAAATCGAGGTTTTAATGTGAAAATCATCTATAAATGGGCAATTTTCCACATATCCATGGATTGACCCTCTGGGTATATAACATAGACCCTGGCAGAAGACAGGGGTTGGAAGATTCCATGTGCCATTAACCAATATATTCAGGGTCTATGTTAGTTTAATGGGGGGGAGCGGAGGGTGGTTGGGGGTACCATCTGGTTATGACTAACAGCCATGGGAAAATCCTTTATACCTAAATGTAGTTTTTTAAGGGGGACAAAAATCAGTCATAAATGGGTTGTCATTTACACAAATCCAATGGATTGACCCTCTGGTATATAACATAGACCCTGGCACAGAAGGTTGCTGGAAGATTTCATGTCCATTAAAAAATAATGATTTTCAGGTCTATGTTAGTTTACTAGGGGGGCGGAGGTACCCCACATGTCTGGTCGATGTGACTAAACCCATAGCCCATGAATCCCTTATAAATCGAGGGTTTAATGGGAAAATCATCTATAAATGTGCCATTTTCCACAAATCCATGGATTTACCCTCTGGTATATCAACATAGACCCTGGCAGACAGGGCTTGGAAGATTCATGTCCATTAAAAAATAGTGATTTTCAGGGTCTATGTTAGTTTACTAGGGGGTACCATCTGGTTATGACTAACATAGCCATGGAAAATCCCTTATAAATCGAGGTTTTAATGTGAAAATCATCTATAAATGGGCAATTTTCCACAAATCCATGGATTGACCGTACCATCTGGTTATGGCTAACATAGCCATGGAAAATCCCTTATAAATGGAGGTTTTAATGGGAAAATCATCTATAAATATGCCATTTTCCACAAATCCATGGATTTACCTTCTGGTATATTAACATAGACCCTGGCAGACAGGGGTTGGAAGATTCATGTCCATTAAAAAAAAAGTGATTTTCATGGTCTATGTTAGTTTACTAGGGGGTACCATCTGGTTATGACTAACATAGCCATGGAAAATCCCTTATAAATGGAGGTTTTAATGGGAAAATCATCTATAAATGTGTCATTTTCCACAAATCCATGGATTTACCTTCTGGTATATTAACATAGACCCTGGCAGACAGGGGTTGGAAGATTCATTTCCATTAAAAAATAGTGATTTTCAGGGTCTATGTTAGTTTACTAGGGGGGTACCATCTGGTTATGACTAACATAGCCATGGAAAATCCCTTATAAATGGAGGTTTTAATGGGAAAATCATCTATAAATGGGCCATTTTCCACAAATCCATGGATTTACCCTCTGGTATATTAACATAGACCCTGGCAGACAGGGGTTGGAAGATTCATGTCCATTAAAAAAATATTGATTTCCAGGGTCTATGTTAGTTTACTAGGGGGGTACCATCTCGTTATGACTAACATAGCCATGGAAAATCCCTTATAAATGGAGGTTTTAATGGGAAAATCATCTATAAATGTGCCATTTTCCACAAATCCATGGATTGACCCTCTGGTATATTAACATAGACCCTGGCAGACAGGGGCTGGAAGATTCATGTCCATTAAAAAATAGTGATTTTCAGGGTCTATGTTAGTTTGCTAGGGGGTACCATCTGGTTATGACTAACATAGCCATGGAAAATCCCTTATAAATGGAGGTTTTAATGGGAAAATCATCTATACATGGGCAATTTTCCACAAATCCATGGATTTACCCTCTGGTATATTAACATAGACCCTGGCAGACAGGGGTTGGAAGATTCATGTCCATTAAACAATAGTGATTTTCAGGGTCTATGTTAGTTTACTAGGGGGGGTACCATCTGGTTATGACTAACATAGCCATGGAAAATCCCTTATAAATGGAGGTTTTAATGGGAAAATCATCTATAAATGGGCAATTTTCAAAAAATCCATGGATTTACCTTCTGGTATATCAACATAGACCCTGGCAGACAGGGGGTGGAAGATTCATGTCCATTAAAAAATAGTGATTTTCAGGGCCTATGTTAGTTTACTAGGGGGTACCATCTGGTTATGGCTAACATAGCCATGGAAAATCCCTTATAAATGGAGGTTTTAATGGGAAAATCATCTATAAATATGCAATTTTCCACAAATCCATGGATTTACCTTCTGGTATATTAACATAGACCCTGGCAGACAGGGGTTGGAAGATTCATGTCCATTAAAAAAAAAGTGGTTTTCATGGTCTATGTTAGTTTACTAGGGGGTACCATCTGGTTATGACTAACATAGCCATGGAAAATCCCTTATAAATGGAGGTTTTAATGGGAAAATCATCTATAAATGGGCCATTTTCCACAAATCCATGGATTTACCATCTGGTATATTAACATAGACCCTGGCAGACAGGGGTTGGAAGATTCATGTCCATTAAAAAATAGTGATTTTCAGGGTCTAGGTTAGTTTACTAGGGGGTACCATCTGGTTATGACTAACATAGCCATGGAAAATCCCTTATAAATGGAGGTTTTAATGGGAAAATCATCTATAAATGTGCCATTTTCCACAAATCCATCGATTTACCCTCTGGTATATTAACATAGACCCTGGCAGACAGGGGTTGGAAGATTCATTCATGTCCATTAAACAATAGTGATTTTCAGGGTCTATGTTAGTTTACTAGGGGGGTACCATCTGGTTATGACTAACATAGCCATGGAAAATCCCTTATAAATGGAGGTTTTAATGGGAAAATCATCTATAAATGGGTCATTTTCCATAAATCCATGGATTGACCCTCTGGTATATTAACATAGACCCTGGCAGACAGGTGCTGGAAGATTCATGCCCATTAAAAAATAGTGATTTTCATGGTCTATGTTAGTTTACTAGGGGGTACCATCTGGTTATGACTAACATAGCCATGGAAAATCCCTTATAAATCGAGGGTTTAATGGGAAAATCATCTATAAATGTGCCATTTTCCACAAATCCATGGATTTACCATCTGGTATATCAACATAGACCCTGGCAGACAGGGGGTGGAAGATTCATGTCCATTAAAAAATAGTGATTTTCAGGGTCTATGTTAGTTTACTAGGGGGTACCATCTGGTTATGACTAACATAGCCATGGAAAATCCCTTATAAATCGAGGTTTTAATGTGAAAATCATCTATAAATGGGCAATTTTCCACATATCCATGGATTGACCGTACCATCTGGTTATGACTAACATAGCCATGGAAAATTCCTTATAAATGGAGGTTTTAATGGGAAAATCATCTATAAATGTGTCATTTTCCGCAAATCCATGGATTTACCCTCTGGTATATTAACATAGACCCTGGCAGACAGGGGTTGGAAGATTAACCTAGACCCTGGCAGACAGGGGTTGGAAGATTCATGTCCATTAAAAAATAATGATTTTCAGGCTCTATGCTAGTTTACTAGGGGGTACCATCTGGTTATGACTAACATAGCCATGGAAAATCCCTTATAAATGGAGGTTTTAATGGGAAAATCATCTATAAATGTGCCATTTTCCACAAATCCATGGATTGACCCTCTGGTATATTAACATAGACCCTGGCAGACAGGGGCTGGAAGATTCATTTCCATTAAAAAATAGTGATTTTCAGGGTCTATGTTAGTTTACTAGGGGGTACCATCTGGTTATGACTAACATAGCCATGGAAAATCTCTTATAAATGGAGGTTTTAATGGGAAAATCATCTATAAATGTGCCATTTTCCGCAAATCCATGGATTTACCTTCTGGTATATTAACATAGACCCTGGCAGACAGGGGCTGGAAGATTCATGTCCATTAAAAAATAGGCATTTTCAGGGTCTATGTTAGTTTACTAGGGGGTACCATCTGGTTATGACTAACATAGCCATGGAAAATCCCTTATAAATGGAGGTTTTATGGGAAAATCATCTATAAAAGGGCCATTTTCCACAAGTCCATGGATTTACCGTACTAGATCTTTGTTTGCAACTCCAAATTGCTTTGACCATGGTTAGGTGTGTAGAAGCATGTGAAGCACAAGAATTGTTAAAAGCTAAGCCGTCACTGGTGATGGAAGTATACTAACATAGACTTAATTGAAATTTGCTGTGAAACCTTGCACAATGCCAAATGCTCCCAAACATCAGGTATGAATCAGGTGATCAGGTCTACGTTTGTAGTCTTCACAGCTGTTGCGTTGCAAAGTGCAGGTATGTAAATGCATTTCAATCAAGCTGTCATGCCTCCATTTTTCCATGTTTTGTATCATGATAGCCAACATGGCTGGATTTTGTAGGTCTATGTTAGCTGAAATCTGAGTTGCAGCCTGTTTTTTCGTTGCTCACGTGTATGGTAAGGCTACCCCCTTAGGTCTATGTTTGTTTAGTGGTATTGCTTTTCTAGGTCTAAGTTTATTTGAGGTAGTGTAATGATAGTTAATGATGGTTAACAACCACTGGTTGGCGGTTTGGAACATTTTTTATTTTCCCCAATAGCTGGGATGATGATCCAATCTGACTTATATTTTTAGATATTTTTCAGGGGGGTAGGTCAACCACCAATTAGTATATGACATTATTTGGATCGATGTGGTGATAATATTTACCACATGTTTACCACATGTTTACAACCCATTTATCATGAAGATTCCATGAATTCGTGGATTGCACGAAGTCGCCAGATGCAACGCAACGGAATTCGGGCTGGTGCACGGAAAACCCATGAAAAACCTTCTTGGAAGGGAAAAAACATGTGGGGTTTACCATGGTTTACCATGGTTTACCGCGTAAAGATAGGCTCCTGATCGACTGGTCGACCATCACCAGGGGCTTGCAGGACTATCCACAGCCCATCGTAGATCACAAAGACGCCCGGGAGGAGATGGCACAGCGGCCAATCCATGAATTTCATCATGGGGTGTTGGAAATGGGCCGAAACCCCCAAACAATATGTTGTTATTAATAGGGAACATGATGATAGACTCTGACATTTTGGGCTACCCTATTTTCAGACAGATGACATCCTGATGTTTCAACTAGTGATGTCAACATAGTTCAACCTTTTCTGTTTGTTTACAACTAAATGAAGACCCTTCAGACTCGAGAATTCTGATCACCAGTCACTCAGTCACCCAGTTTTTGTTTCTCTCATCTCCTAGGATTCTGCTGATGCTGCTCCGGTTGTGCCCGAAGAAGCGAATATCTACAGTACATTTAAAATCATTTAAAATACATTAAAATACTATACGTACTAGACTATGAAGGCGATGGAGAGACACACAGAGAGAGAGAGAGAGACAGATCTTCCAAGAGCAGTACCAAGACATTATGAATTGATTCGATACGAGTAAAGGAAATGCAAAGGAAAGCATGTCAACATATGTCAACATATGTCAACATATGTCAACATATGTCAACATATGTCAACATATGTCAACATTCGCTCATGAAATCGAGGCAGTGAGTTGGTGTGTGGGTGGGGAAAGGGTCTTCAAGACCTACCCTCGAATAAATGGCTGCAGCTCAAAATGTAAGGTCCCGATCCATACCTCGGACGCACAGGTGATCCATACCCCTGATCCATACGCTTGTGAAGAGATTGAAATCATTTGAGATCATTAGTGTAACTCCTTCGTTCCATACGCGCAGATCACCGCGTAGCGATCCATACACGTTTTTTGAGCCATAGATAAATTATATGATCAAACTTGCGTGCAAATTGCAACCTAAATGTATGAATGCAACATCCAATTATAATTTATCGGATCGGTGTGCCATGCGGTTTTCTACAGCAAGATTTCTGTATTGGGAACAGCGGTGAGCCAGAGCCTGTTCAGCCGCATGATTGTCACTGTCAGGAGAATTTGGCTCGCTTCAAAGCATCTTTAGATGGCAAGATTCTTCCCGAGAAATTTGGGGCGGCAACCAGCCGGGTAGCCTATTGACGCCTTTGACTCTGACGAGGAAGGAAAGTACCAAGAGATGAAGGGCAAGATGTTGATATGCTGTGCGTTTTCAGAAGCAGTAGGTAGCACTGGCTTTACAGCATCCAGTTCGACATCATGAGCTGCATCCAGCATGGTCATCATAAACCCAGCTCATCCATAGTTCAAAGAAATGAAACATCAGCAAACACTTCCTGGGTCTTCATGGATCACCTGTTTGTTGTGTCAAACATGTTTGATTTTGACCTGCATACTTTGGATGATACATATTGATATACACACTTTGGCTTATCTATTCTTCTGGAAGAATTGGCAACAAATCAAGCAATCATTCTGATTGGCAAAGCACTCAGCTTGCGGGGAAGCCTCATATTTTATGACTTTCCATATGTTTCTTTCCCAGACTTGGTTGAAAGGAAACAAATACAGGTGTCACCCAGGTTTCCGGAGGTTTCCTACAGATTCTCCCAAGCAAATCAGTCCAATCATTGGATGATTGTTGGTTCATATATGTTCATATCCCATGTTTCAATATTTTTCATGGTTAGCCACTAAACAACTAAAAATCTGTATGAATGTCACTCAAAGATGTCAGTCATGATAGTAATAGTAGCCCTTTCTTTAGCTCGCCTTCAGCTTGACTGCTGACCTCCCGAGATGGCAACTGAGAAATCCATCAATTTCCTCAGGTGATCCTGGTCCTATGCGCTCCAACTTCACAAAGGGCTCGAAGGGCAAAGGTAAACGAATGGAGGAGCCGCTGGACGGCCTTTAGGAGCTGAGCAGGTGAGTTATCCTATAGATTGGTGGACTGGACTGCTTAAGTGGTTTTAAGTGGTTTTAAGTGGATGTTTATAATTTATGGATGAAAAGAATGGATGAAGTTCGAGGGATTGGTTGCAGCGTTATGGAAGCTCTCAGCATTTCGTTGGATTGCTTTGAGGAACATTATTCTTACTATCCGGAAACAGGACAATTTAAGGCTGTCCAGCAAGTGCTTCCTTCAACCGAATCTGGAATTAGATGATTGGATTGGATTGAAAGCACTCGGTGCAGGTGTCACCCGCGTATTTGATGGGAAAAACACAGCAGTTTCCATTTTCCATTCATCAAAAATAGTCCAAATGATTCAAGGAAACCAAGCAAGGGAAGAATCGGATGAAATTCTATGAACTTCACTAGGGACTACACATGTTTGGAGATATTCCAAGATATTTTCATCAAAGGTTGGGAGGACTTGCTTTGGGAGATGGTGAAAGACACCCCCAGACCCCACAATGATAAAACATGATAAAACAATGTTTTCATTGGACCATGTGGGCATCACAAGCGAGCGCCACAACGGGGACATGCCCTGGGGCCCTGCCCACACCTTCAGTGCCTTTAGATCCCATCCCCTTGGGCCGAGCTCGACCCAAGGCCCACAAAGACTGAGACTGAGGGTCGCAAGCAACGGCGCTGGGGCAAAGGCCCAAAGGACAGCCCTGGGGCCCTAGGGGCTGGGGAGCAGGATGGTGGTCAGGTGCTGCCGGAACTGCATCCTGTTTTCAAATTGTCATCGAAAGTGGCGAGAATGATCCTGAGCTCAGATCCTTCCAGTAAATTCCAATGCTGTCACGACTGTCACGGACGTTGTGAGACAACGGTGGCGGTCTGGCAGGATGACACCATTGCAGGTGGATGATTAAAGCGACTACGAGGCAATTTCCCTGCAGAGGCAGTCAGTACTTCTAGCCCTGTTAGCGGAAAAAAAAGATATAAACTACCGTAAACACCTAACTGAATGATGCGCTTCTAGCCGTTGTATGTTCACTTCTTGGCATGATGATGCATTATGTGTCCGCTTTAGGTGTCAGGTGCACAGAAATTGTTGTAGTTGGATTGAGACCACCCAATTTTGGGCCACTGCTTCAGGTGCAGCTGCCCGGCGGTTGCGAGCTGCATTCAGTCGCTGGATGGCAGGAGCCAGAGGACATGCTGGACACACCATTCAATTTGAGTCCTGCATGAGACCTCCGCATGCGGAATTACATCATATTATATCGAGATGATCAAGAGGAAGTAGCTGGTGCTGGTGATGGTGATGGTGTAATAGATACTTACATAATCTTACATATACTTACTCAAGACAACCCCACCAACCTTGCCCACGAAAGATGGGGTGAGCAACGTGCGGATTCCGTTTTTCAGGTTTCGCTTGGTTGGGCCTTGGAATCTCAGGCTTGCCTGGGTGTGTCAGGGCCCAGGGCCTGCATGCTGCGGAAGGGAATCACAAGCAGACAGTTGGCTAGATACAGGTCAGACATGTTCGACATGTTCGAACTTAGAACTAGATTTTATTTGTACATTTGTACGGTATGTTTAGTAGTTGGTCGTATCATGTCTTAGTCCTATCATGTCTTATCCATGCCCAAATGCTGACTTGCAAGATCCACAAAATGTTGCAGGCAGCCGAATGACAAGACCGATGCCACCGCCTGTGCCTCCAAGACAGGTAGGGCAACGAGCGACTTGGATGCAATGATTTGGGCTACCCTATGTGTCGTCGATAAACCCATTTGATCAAGGCTTGGAAAGGCTCCCTTTGTGGTAGCTCAGTAGTGAGCCCTCATGTTTTGCTGTGGAGATGATTGCAGCACACACTCCTGTGACTTACGTGGTGGACCCGAAGAAAAGAATGGAAAAGGAACATCTCCACGGCAAAGAGAAAGATACTCCCGCAAGGGTTGCGCAGATTTGCGCAGATTTTCGGCCATTTTGTACAGATGCGGGAGGCCTCTTTTCCAGGAGACCTCTTTGCAGAGCAGAGGACGAGATGTCTCAAAGTTGTTTGCACCACATGCATCCAAATCCAACAAAGAATCAGGGTAGCTTTATTGATTGTATTTTTCAGCTGGGTTGAAATTTGAAACCAGCCATGAGTTGCTTTGTATGCCGGGAACTCTCGATTCTGTGCAGACGGCAGTTGAGTTGAGCGACTCAATTTTGGGGTCAATGGATTTTCCCGCCTCCCTCTTCCTTGTCTGGAGTTGTTTGCAACAGCATGCAGCCCTGCGGCCTTTTGGATCCTGCTCTCTTTGGAGCTAAATGCAGCCGATTTGGGCATCGATTCTTGGCTGGGAACCCCAAAGGTTAAGCAGTTTATCAAGTTGTGGAAGATGTGCCTCATAGTGGACAGGTGAAACACCGGTCATGGCATGAGTACAACGGATGACCCGTCAGTAACGGGGGCCTCTATTCTACAAAAGAGTCCCAGAAAAACAATCATAAGGGCAGATTGGTTCCAGAACGAGGCTGTGGTGGAGAATAACTGCCTCCTACGGATAGAGATGAAGGAAATCACTCCCTTGAAAACTATTCTGCTATGTCGTTCATGGGTGTTGGGCTACCCTTTTCTAAGATTGCTTGAGCCTTCGCTTTTGCACACACCGTGCAAAAGGTGGCAGGTGGGACATGGTGGGACCCTCCATCCACTCAGGAGTTTTCTTGACATTTCTCAGCCCTATTTATATGTTCAGTATTCTTGTAATATAAATATATTACCTGCAAGAACGTTGCACAAAATGCCATGATTACCTCGCTTTTTATGTCGGCCCAGTGGCAGCAAGGCATTGTCTTGACAACGCCTTAGGTCGCCTTGTGCTGGTTTTCAGGCTCAAACCCAACGTATTCCAACATATGAATTTGATTGGCTCAGCTCTCACACGTGAAAGTATGGGATAGGCCGGATAGGCTGCCGTTTTTCAACTTACTTGGCAAAAGAATCGAAATAGTAGAGATGAGGGAATTTCGAAGTTGTACAGATCTGACAAGCGCAAAGAATTTAGAAGATATATTGGTGTGTATATACTCTTATTGTACTCTTTGATTGCTCCATGACACATCGGACGGGGGGTCATTGGCAGTGTTTTGCAGTGCCAGTATTATTGAACGATTGAACACAACCATGACCTGTAGAAATAGTAGATCTGTCATGATGCTTCCAAAGAAGATCGTGAGCACAAGGAGGGTTTGCTTGAATATGTAGAGATTTGCTATAGCCAGCCATGGATGTACACTATTGCATAGTCCCGTTGCGACCAGACCGTGTTTGCAACCCAGTTCTCCGAGCTGGAAATCGTATGTTCTCACGATTGATGCCATGTTGATATGTTGGTTCACTTCCAGTTTGTGATTTTATTGTGTTGTTTTGTCCATCATTTGGTGTAAAAAGGTCGTTTTGGGTCTGTTCGAAAAGAAGGCAAGCTCCAATTTCAATGGTCTATCAGCATTTTCTCAATGAAGGCCACTTGGTTGGTATCCCGTTTCAAGACACACCCAAACGTTGGTGCACGTTGGTACTGTTTGTTCTTGCGAGGTGTCAGCGTTGTTCAACGGTCGCCCCTGCTTAACGCAAAGCATTCGTCGAGCAAAGGCTGCCACCTTCTCCGACCGATTGGTTTGTCCGAAATTGGGGGTACCTTACCTCCACGGGTTATTTGAATACTGAACATGATCATTATAAATCCTTACACTTGTGGGGTTCTGTACTTTCAGGCAAACCATGGCAAACCTATAATGTATAGTTGTTTTCTCTTCACACTGATAAGCGAATAGCATTCAACGTCGGAGCTGCTTACAGCTGCGGCCAAACATGAAAACATCAATCCCGCGTAAACATTTTGGCTTGAAGAATATTGATGACTTTCTTCCGTAGTTTCATGTAATTTCAATATGGATGGCGTGAAACACACAAACAGGACTGTTTTCATACACATGTCCATCAGGGAAATGTTTGGTGCTGGGCAGGCAGATTTTACAGCACCTGAATCATCTATGGATATTCCTTTATCCTATGCCCTGTGGCCGGTTGTTTGCCGTTCCTTTGCTGCAGTAACGCGTTTCCAGTGCTCTCAGTGAGGAGCGGATTTACCAGATGCAGAACTTGGATGTTTGCCGTACATGTCATTCAAGAATACGATTACGGGAAGCATCTCAAAATGCACCCCTTGCATGACATCCACGGTTTCAACCCTTGCTCAACGAGGCCTCTACAATACCAGGAAGGCTGTAAAGGCCCAAGAGGCAAGTTGCAAGTAGTAAACCAGTAAAACTTGGGCAAGACCAACCATATTGGGATACTGTACAGTATAAATATGTATATATATATATAATTAGTTGAGAGATAACTAGATGTGGACTGAGATGAAGAATGGGATTCACGATGGGCCAATGGGATACATCGTGCAACTAAGCCTCATGGAGACAGGGATTTGCAACTTACATGATGTAGCATGGTTTGGCAGAGGCACGTTCATCGTTACAGAATCATATCCTTGATATTTGGTACTTGTAGTTTTGGGTCATGAATCCCGGGTTTCCAATGGACTCCCTTTTCGTGAGGATTATCACAATTCACCCCCCCTCTAAATTCCAAAGCACCAGCGCCACCAGTTGTCCGTTGAAGTCATGGGAGCAGGCTGCCAAAGTGCAGCTAGAGAAGAACTTGGCAGCACAGGAAGCTGAAGGTAGAGGGAATTCTGGTTGTGGAGGGAATTCTGGTTGTGAAGGTAGAGGGAATTCTGAATGCCTTTGTCCAAGGTCGGGTGATTTACACCCAATTTGTGGCAGCTTCAATGGGCACAATTGGGAAAAAAATGGCAAACTCCAAAATTGGAATTTGGATAGGAAACAAATCTGATGATATATTGGAATTGGAGGTATGTCATGGTATGTCCCATTTTGAGACACGCCCATTATTTGGGGGTTCCATGAGCTTCCCAACTCCTCGCGCCAGCCGAGAAGGAGGAAGACCAGCTTGAGGCCTGCTTGGACGTATCAAACGTAGCGTGACGTGTGTTTTACCAAGGACCAATGATGGGGCAGAGACAATTCAATACCCCAGTCCAGGACCCTTCAGTAGATGAGCTGGAGGTGGATGAGACTGAGGACACGGGCTGTGGCTGATAGAATGAATGGTGAATGACCGAATGGTGGATGGTTTTTGCTTGGATCCATGGTAT